TTCGGCCGCCTTGCTAGCGGCCTCCTGCACATCTGGGGAGGATGCGAATGTCGCAAGTCCTCAGTATACTTACGAGGATTATGCTGTCCACTTGGCTCCACCGCTGGACCAACCGCTCAACGTGCAACAGTCCACCGCATGCACGGTTTCATCACCATCGGCAACCGATTCGGCAGCTTCGCCGCAATCTATCGCCGGGGATTCGACGTCATGGTCAAGACTTGATGAGCTTGACCCGCTGACGTTCACGGACTTCCAATGGATACCCGTTCCCTCGACCGGACGATTGCCGAAACCGCATTGCAACGTGCTTATGGCACAATTGCGGGACTACTTGCACACTGCAGTACCAGCTCCGTTGATGGACGCCGGAGCAGAGGTTGTCGACCTTCTCGCGTACATCACGAAGATCGACCACGAGTTCAAGACGCAACGGTACGACGACATCGACGCACCATTGCTATACATACGCATTCAGATCGGAGAGGCAACGTGCAGTGCCTTGATCGATTGCGGAGCATCTCGCAACTACATCAGCCAGGAATTCATGATACACGCCGGCCTTGGCCCACGTGTCCGGAGGAAGTCCCAGCCTACGCAAGTCACTCTGGCAGACGGTCATACGCACAAGTCCATCGACCAGTGCATTGACGTCATCCCAGTGTACTTTGCCCCTCACGCAAGTCAGGCGGTGTCCTTTGAGATTTTGGACACCAAATTCGACATGATCTTGGGCATGTCATGGCTGCGAAGCAAGGATCACCCGGTGAACTTCTTCAACTGCACGGTTCCCGTTCGTGACCGGAATGGAGTATTAGTTTCATGCACGTTGCCTCTTCCTCATCCTTCGATCAGCTGCCACGTGGTATCCGCCACAAGCATGCGAGCTTCCATCATCAGAGACGACATCGAGGAGATGGGGGTGTGTTTTCTCCACGCCCTCCCGCCACATGACGCTTCATCGACGGACTCACCTTCGGATCCACGCATCACCGAACTTCTCGACACCTACGGTGACGTGTTCGAAGGCCCGCACGGAGTAGTACCGGATCGACCCATCCGCCACGAGATCATCCTCGAGGACGGGGCCGTACCTCCGCGCGGCTGCATCTACCGAATGAGCGAGGAAGAGTTAAGTGTGCTTCGGGCACAACTCGACGACCTTCTAGAGAAAGGTTGGATTCGGCCTAGCTCATCGTCATACGGTGTTCCCCTTCTCTTCGTCCGGAAGAAGAACAAGGACCTGCGGTTGTGCATCGATAATCGCAAGCTCAACGCGCAGACGATCAGGAACGTCGGCCCTCTCCCACGCATCGACGACCTTCTCGAGCGATTGGGCGGCGCCCAGTTCTTCTCCAAGCTGGATCTCAAGTCAGAGTACCACCAACTCGAAATTCGCAAGGAGGACCGCTACAAGACCGCGTTTAAGAAGCGATATGGGCATTTCGAATGGCTGGTCATGCCATTTGGCCTTACGAATGCCCCGGCCACTTTCCAAGTGGCTATGACAACGAAGTTCCGACACATGCTGGATCGATACGTACTTATCTATCTCCACGACATCCTGGTGTACAGCCGAAGTTTGGACGAGCAGGCCAAGTACAAAGCCAACTGGAGGAGCATGTGGAACACATGCGCACCGTTTTGGATCGGCTATGACAGGCCAAGTACAAAGCCAACTGCGACAACTGTGAATTCGCGCGGCAGGAGTTGGAGTACTTGGGCCATTATGTGACGCCGCAAGGCATCCGTCCGCTCGCGGACAAGATCGAGGCCCTACGAGTATGGCCCGAGACCACCAACACCACGGGCGTTCGTTCATTCATGGGATTGGCGGGCTACTATCAGCGATTCATCACCAGATACTCCGGGATTGTTGCACCTATGACGAGGTTACAGTCGCCAAAGGTGCCATTCATTTTCGATGACGACGCACGCCGGTCATTCCAAGCACTTAAGACGGCCATGCTCATGGCACCCGTCCTCAGCATCTATGACCCCACCTTGCCGACGAGAGTGACTACGGACGCTTCCGGCTATGGCATTGGGGAAGTCTTGGAACAGCACGACGGCGACGACTAGCACCCTGTGGAGTATTTCAGCCACAAAGTGCCTCCCATCAACTCGCTTGAAGATGCAAGGAAGAAGGAGCTACTCGCGTTCGTCATGGCTCTCAAGCGATGGCGGCACTTCCTCCTTGGGCGTCGTAGGTTCACATGGGTTACGGACAACAATCCATTGACCTACTACAAGACGCAGGATACGGTGAGCAGCACGATCGGACGATGGATGTACTTCATCGACCAGTTTGACTTCACACCAAAACATCTACCCGGCCTCTCAAATCGCGCAGCAGATGCACTCTCGCGAAGACCAGATCTTTGCGCTATGACACATCATGCTTTCGCATTCGACGAGGAGCTTCAGTGACACTTCATCCAGGCATATCAGTCTGATCCGGACTTCGGCACGCTCTATGCACAGCTATCTTCGGATCACCCGCCGGCCAGCCATTACCGCATTGCCGACGGGTACTTGCTCCTCCACTCGAGAGGCAAGGACTTACTATGTGTCCCACGCGACCGTCATCCTCGGACTCGCCTCCTCGGCGAGTATCATGATTCACGACTCGCCGGCCATTTCGGAGTCAACCACACTATTGCACGGCGTCGACAGCGATTCCGATGGCCCGACCTCATTACCGATGTCACTCGGTATTGCGACTCTTGCGAAGTTTGCCGACGCAGCAAGCCCCGCAACCGCAATCCCTACGGCGAGTTACACCCGATGCCTATCCTACGGGAACTTGGTCTCTCCATTGCCATGGACGTCACCGGTCCGTTTCCTCGCGACCGGCTCGGGCACGACGGCATCCTCGCAGTTGTGGACCGATTGAGTAAGTATGCGCGCTTTCTCCCTTGCAAGTACTACTCCACGGCTCCCGAGCTGGCACGCCTCCTGCACACTGGTTGGATTTGTGGCCACGGTGTACCAGAAAACATTGTCAGCGACCGCGACACTCGTTTCATGTCGGCGTTTTGGACTGCTCTCATGCAGGGGTCCGGCACAACAATGAAACCAAGTTCGGCTCGACATCCTCAGATAGACGGGCAGACGGAGCGGGCATATCAAACCGCTCAAATGATGCTTCGTACACTCATCCGTCCGGACCAGAAAGATTGGGTTGACTTCCTCCCCGACATCGAGTTCGCCTACAACACTTCGGTGCATCCGACGATCCACGTGACTCCATTCGAGTTGCACCACGGTGGACGAAAAGGCCGGATCTTCGCCGACCTTCTCCTCCCTCAACCAACCCACCTTGACGCTGCCTGCTCTCCCGCTTCCGTCCGGAAGTATAGGGAATTGCTGAGTCAAGCCCGCGCAAATATGCAAAAGGCTCAAGTCCGCATGCAGCAGCAAGCCAACATGGGTCGCGTACCATGTCCCATCCGCGCCGGTGATCTGATTTGGGTCTCCGCGGAAGAGTTTGCATTAGAACAGGATGTTTCACTCAAACTGCTTCCCAAGTGGTTTGGACCTTGGTCTGTGACAGCAGCCGCGGGCGATGAGCCCGATGGCCCTTCATTTGTGATCAACATTCCAGAGCATCTGACGGTCCATCTGGTCTTCCACGCCTCGAAGCTGGCAACATACACGCCAGCCAAGAGCGACGACTTTCCGGACCGACGATCGCAGGACCCTCCTTCTATGGATGGCCATCAGGAAGTTGACCGTGTCATCTCCGATCGCAAGTACGGCAGCAAGCCGCGGCAGTACAAAGTCACATTCAAAGCATGCGATCGAGACGACACTCGGTGGATTTCAGGCGCAGATTTGAAAGCATCCGCACCGCTGATCTACGTGCATTATGAAAAGTGCAGGTTAGCTCAGGACGCTTCACGGCCAGCCCCTCCCACCCGGACTGTGGTCCCTCCCTCAGACAGACAGCTTCGCCCTCGCAGGTAAGCTCGGTTCTTCAAGGAGGGGGGGGTGTGGCATACTGTGTAGCCACACGGGCCCTACAGGGCCCGTCCCGGACATTCAGCCTAAAAGCCTAAAACTTAGGGCTTACAGGCCCCGTTCGTTTCAGCCTAGATGCTGAAAAACGAGGGTCTGCAGGCCCTACCCTGTTTCAGCCTATTTCTGGATCTTTTCAGACCCAGAGTTTTCAGCCTGAAACGGAGGCCCATTTTCAGGCCCTCATTGTTTCGACCTGCCCCTAAGACTCAGGCACGTAAACAGGGATGCGGAACAGGCCAGAAATAGCCTGTTCCTCACGAGTTTGAGCAGGAGCTGCAGCTGCAGCCCCTGCCTCCCTTCGGCAGGCTCAGGAGGCACACCCGTAGTACATAGGAAGTTCCCATGCACTTCACAGGTAGGTGGTGTTCAGTAGGCATGAGTAGTCTTTAGGATTCGGCCGCAGCACTCAGGAGGAGCGTTGCAGTAGTCTTCAGCGCTAGGTAGTAGTGGTAGCGCTAACTGTAGTCTTCGGCGCTTGGTGCCATAGCTGTAGCTGTAGTCTTCAGCGCTGGGCGCTGGTAGGTGGTAGATCGTAGAGTGGGAGAGAGACTGGCGGAGGCCAGTGTTACGTACCTGTGGGGCCATCGCTCCAGCTCCATCTTCATGGTACCTGCATCAAGGCGCCAAATTCACAGGTTAGTACTGGACACAGAGAGAGAGAGAGAGTTCTTCTTCTTCCTCTTCTAAGTCCACCTTCTCTTCTCACCCTCTCGCCACCTGACTTCTCAGACTACGATAGAGAGAGACATAGTTGTGACTTGAGACTTGACGACATTGGATCCAGACTTGACATTTGGGATTCAGATATTCCGACGAGGGACTATTTGGGCTTGTGCCGAAGACTTGGTGTTGACGACATTCCCATCTTCCCCCTCCTCTTCGTCTATCCCCTTCCTCTTCGTCTGTGTATGGTATGGGTTGGCGCAGTCTTCCTGTGTGAAGCGCCAGACCCCATTCACAACATGTAACGATGATGATGATGTATGTTCAGGGCTGCATTTCAACATTGATTGTTCGGATCACTGGTATCTAAGTCTTCCGTTTTGCTATCTTATACTTTGTATTGAAAGGTCGGTTCTTGTTCTGGTCTGCACGTTACAGTATGCAACACCATATCCCCATCTTTCGGTCATACGCCCCCCCGTTCCCCC